ACCCCATCCCGGGCGAGGCGGGGCCTGCGGCCGGGGCGGCGTCGGTGCGGGCGACGGCGCGGCGCGGCGCGGCGGTCCGGGGCCCCGGGGCGCCCCGCGGCCTGCGGCGGCCGCGCTCGCTCACCCGGGCGGCCGGCCGAGGCACCGCGCAGGGCCGCGCCGAGGACGAGGCCGGAGAGCAGCAGCCGCAGCAGCCGCAGGTGTCGCGGCGAGGGCGGAGGGACGGGTGTCGCCATCCTTCAGCGCCGCCGCCGGGGCTGCATGGCACCGCGCGGCCCGGGGCTCGGCGCGGGCTGCGGGCGCCGCGTCGGGGAGGCGCGGGCGGCGGCGGCCGCGGACGAGGGGGCGGAGGCGGAAAGGAGGCGGCGGCGGCGCTGACGCTGCGGCAAAGGATCCGGGATCGAGGGGCGGCGGCGGGAGGCTCGCGGGGAGTGCGCCTGCGCGCTCCGCCTGTGGGGGCGGGACAGCGCCTCCGGGCTGCGCCCCCGCCCCCTTCCTCGGGTTCGGATTCCACCTCCTCCCTCCAGCCCTCGGGGCTCCTCGGCTTCTGCGGCCTCCGCGGCCGGGGACCTCCTCTGTCCTCTGCATACCCGGTGGGCCTGGGGTGGGCTTCCCCAGGATACATTTCCCGCGGGTCCTCTCTCTGTCGCCAATTCCCACCCAACCCCCAACCTCCACCCGGCTGGAGCACGGGGACCTGCCTGGGGCCTGCAGACCCGAGCCCCGGGAACAGCGGGACGCCAGGCGCACGCAGAGAGAAAGGTGCGTCCGAAGAGGCACCTGGGCCCTCGGAGACGCGTGATAAAAGCAAACACACGCCCAGAGCGGGGCCGGTGCTGGTGACCGCTGTGCTTGGAATGGGGCGGCTGGTCTCAGTGAGGCCACCAGGGGGCAAGAGGGACCTGGAGCGGCTGATGAGGGACAGCTGGGAGCTGTCCACGGTCCCTAGGTGACGACAGCCTTCAGCTCCCTGAGGCCTTGCAACAAAGAGCAGCTCGCATGGCACCTGCTGCCCCCAGAGAGGACACCCACCCATCCCACCTGGGAAACCACCCTCTGACTCACTGCACTGAGAGGACAGGGGTGAGCCCCGCCACCCGATGTTTCCCCTCAGCCGTTTGTGCCTCAGAACTCCAAAGAGAGGACCGGCTGCCTCCAGGTTCTGAACGCTCAACACCCCGAAACCCTGCCGAACCACGGGCGTGCGAAGACGAGCACCGCCGTTCTCCCCCCAGGCCACTGACCAGACAGAAGCAGTGTCTGTGCTCAGTTTCTGGAAAGGGTGGGGGGCAGGAGAGCAGCCCAAAGCTAGCCTCCCCACCCAGGATAAACCAGTGCTCACAGGAGGAGGCTGCAGGAGCCGCGGGGGTGGGGGGGTAGGAGGGCTGGTGCCTCCCCTGGATGCGGAAGAGGGCACCAGGCAGGAGGGGAGGTGTGTCCCAGCGCCACGGCACCTGGGCTTTGCAGCCAGCCTCCCCACAACGTGCTGCCGTCTGAGCGATGGGGCCCTGCCTTCCTCCTGGCCCTCATCTCAACTCACCCCAGCACCACTTCTGGTGGAGGGCCCACCCCCCACCCCTTCCAGCACAGAGCGGCCAGTCCCACCCCCTTCCACCGCCTCCACCTCCCCACCCTCACCCCAAGCCAGTCCCAGGCCAGGGCCCGTCCTCGCAGACCTGGAGGAGCTACGGGAGCCTTGCTGGCTGGATGAGACCCAAGGGACTCGGGGACTTTCTCTTGGCGGGTGGCCCCTGGCTGCTCCGCGTGCAGCTGTGGAGCCGGGAGCAGGGTTTCCACGGCTCTGTGCCTGCACCACGAAGGAAGAAAGCAGGAAGAGCCTGGGGCCACCCTTGGGATTAGCAGCGGGTCTTCCTGGCCAGCACAGCTGTGCGGAAGAGGGCGGGCAGCGGCAAGGAGGCCCCACCCTATGGACGTCCTCTCCAGGACTCTGGAAAGAAGTTTTTATTACAAAATTTTCACAAGTAGGTGCTGCGTTCCCAGCCCGTGGGCTCTGACCCTCCCTCTCATACAGAGTCAGACTTTGGAGGGGGTGGTGCTCTGAGCGCCCTAACTCCACTCCCTGCACACCCAGCCCCGGGGTCACCGGCTGAGGGCTGCGGGGTGTCTGAATCCCCCACCCCCAGGAAGAGGAGGCCCAGGGGACCCTGCAGGCTGGAGGGTGCCGGAGCGGACAGACAGGGTCTGGACCCCGTTCCCTGTGGGCGAGCGCGCCAGCGTCCCCTGTCTGGGTCTGGGCAGCGCTGGGGGTAGGATGGGGTGTGGGGGAGGGCCGGGGTCCCGGAGGGCGGCCGCCCCCAGCCCGACCCTAGATGGCGCTGGACGCCTTGGCCGCGCGCGCCCGGCACAGCAGCAGGATGGTCGCGGCCAGAAGCAGGGCAGCTGAGAGCAGGACCAGGACGACCCAGGCCCCGAAGTCTGTGCCCTTGCGCAGCACCGGCGGCTCGGCGGGGATCAGGTTGGTCAGATTCAGCATGTAGCCGAGCGCCCAGCCCACTGCGGCGTCCCCGGCCTGCGGGCAAGGGGCATGGCTTCAGCCTCCACGGGGTCCAGGGTGGGGGCCGCCCCTCCGCGCCCCGGGACCACCGGCTCCCACCTTCTTCTGGAAGGTCACCCCTCCGAAGGCGCGCTCATGGAAGCCGTAGCCGTGGCTCAGCAGCTGCTGCACGAACATGGCCCCGGCGCAGTAGTGAGGCAGGTGGGCTCGCTGTCCCGGGGCTCGAGCCTGCAGCTGGGACGCACGGGGGATACTGTTGGGCCAGCAACCAGCTGGAGGTCTTGGCCCACGAGGAGTGGTGGCCGGCGGCGGCGTGCCGTACCTGCCGACCCCAGCACACACCCATGGGCAAGGAGGGGCCAGAGACGCCTCAGCGGCCATAGGGGCCTCCACCCCCAAGCAGGACGGTTCCGTCCAGGACCAACAGTATGACTTTTGGACGGCGGTGGGCTCCCCCTGCTTTGGAGGGGGACTTCGAGGGGATAGCAGGGACGGCCACCCCGGGAGCAGCAGGCTGGCAGCAACTTTAGTGCGAGGTCAGGGGCCCAGGAGAAGCAGCAGGCCTTCAGCATGGACCTTGGGCGAGGCTTTTGCTCCCCCCACTTCCCCACCCCCCAGGTGTGCCTGAGGCTAGACACTGAGAAGACTGGATGGGGCCTCTGTCACCTCCAGAGCCCCAAGACGCTGTTTCTCCCGGGGTTTGGCACCCCATGCTCCACCTATGAAAACACCACTTCCTTCACTCGGCACGTGTCTGACCAGCGGCAGAAGCCAGAAACCTGGAAGTCGTCTTCAGAGCCTGGCTCCCTTACCCCTGAGCTCTGGCGGTCCTGCCTGCTACAGCCAGTCCCCAACCCATTTCACTCCCTGGGCCCTGCCACTGCAGGGCCTCCCCTCTGTCCTCCAGATCTGGGTCAGGGAGGCTGCTGCTGGCTGGCTGGGCCCTCTCGCCTAGCCCTGGAGGAGCGGGAAGGAGGTTCACCTCGCTCCACGTCTGGTTGCACACCGTGACCACCGCGGCCTCCAGCTGCTGCACGGTGGCCACAGAGAGCCCCATCACTGTCCTCAGGAAGTCCATGGTGTAGAAGAAGGCGGAGAAGGCCTGCAAGGGGGGGTACAGTCACCCAAGAACAGGCCCCACATGCTACAGGGCACCAGCCCCCACACCCCTCCCCTGTACTCACGATGAATTTCCCAGCCACAGGGGGCTGGAAGATGCCGTTGAAGGAACATCGGGAGAAGCGGCAGAAGGAGAAATTGAAGAGTCCCGCGACGAGGCTGCGGCAGAGGGCAGGGTCGCTGGCCCCAGACAGGCTGACCCTGGCGCTGCTGTTGAAGGCCTGGGGCTTCTGGGCCGCCACGCATGGGGACGCGTACACGTCCCGAGGCAGCACTTGGGCGGAGTAGCCCCTCGGCCAGCAGGGGTGGAAGCCGTGGGTCTGGGGGAAATGCAAGTTGTGGCAGGCATCACCCCTTCACCAGGCTCTGCCTGCTGCCCTCAGCCCAGGGTCTTCGCAGAGCCTCCCCCTAGGACCTGCCTGGTGAGTCTCCCATAAATCCCACTTGGGCAACATCGCTTCTGTGCTCAGGCGCACCCCGTGACTCCCCATGTCTGCTGGACAGCTCGCCCCCCGAACCCAGCCGGGCACTCCAGGCCTTTGGAGACCCAGCCCTGACCCTCCTTCCTCCCCAGCCGGGCAACGTCCAGACCCACCCTCACCGCTTGGCATTTGCGCCTGGGAGATGCCTCTGCATCTGTCCAGCCAGCTGGGGAAATCCCAGCTTTGGCTTCTGCTCCCTAGAGCAAGCCCCTCGGTCCAGGCTCTGCTCTGGACCCCTGGCTCCCATCTCTTCTCACCCCCTCCTTCCAGGAGGGCACAATGATGCAGGTGGGTGGGGGTCATGGGGCACCTGCAGTGCACTGGCCAGCAGCCTCAAGAGAACCTGGTCCCGGCCATAGCAGAGGAAGCTGTGTGTGTAGATGCGGTATGGCTGGCCGTAGAGCCAGAGCTGGACCTCGTTGGCTGGATCCTCCACGGGGCTGGCTGTCTCGAAGGTGATCTGAGTGGAGGCGCCCCCCAGGTCCATGGCCCCCAGCGTTCCCTTCCTCGGCCGGAACCACTGGCCCACCCAGCCATACTGTGGGGAGCGGAGATTGGGGTCAGCCAGCAGGTGGGCCCCACGCCCCCTGACTCACTGGGCTGGCCATCAGGCCCACCTTGATGAAGTTCTCCAGCAGGTAGTTGGCGGTCACCCAACCAAACACCCCCTCGTCCTGGCCCGAGAGGATGTGGGCACCACGGAAATCAAAGGGATACTGGGTCAGCGTCTGGGTCACAGCCGCGAGCACATTGGCCGAGGCCTCTGGACTGGTCATGCTGTAACACAGGGAGGACTCTGAGGGACAGCCTCCGTGGGTAGCTGAGATCCTGCTGCTGCGGGCACTGTGTCTGCCCAGGGCCACCGCAGAGGGTGTGCACCAGGGTGGTGTGCAGGGCCCTACCCTGTGCTAAGCCTCTCGTGGAGATGGGGAAGGTCAGGGCCGGGCACACTCACTTGAGCAGACGCATGCCTGCTGTGGCTCCCAGGTAGAGGGGCGTGTCCCTGTGTCTCTCCTTGGGCACCTGCTGAAGTGCCTGGTCCAAGCATTCAACGAGACTCCGGCCTGCCCTAGAAGGGTTGTCCGCGTAGCTGGAGATCCCCCCTCCTAGAGGGAGACAGGGAAATGGGCCCAAGCCTGAAGGGCAGCCCCTAAGTGAGCCATGGGCTGGCAGGATTGGGGACCTTGGGCTCCTAAACCAGGTGGCGGCTTAGACACACCTTCCCAGCTCCAGCTCTCAGAGACAAAGGGGCCCACCTTCCTGGGGGCCACCCAGTCTCCCAGGCTGCCGCCTGCCCATGGGTGTGCACACAGGTGCCAGGATAAAGCACGAGGCATTGTCAGTCCGGCCTGCCCTCCTTGGGGGCCTGCTTGGGTGTGCCGGTCTTGGGCCACATAAGGCCCAACCTCCCAACCACCGCCTGGGGCTTACTTTCTCCTCTGAACTGCCCCTAGCCTTTCTCTCTGGGAGGCTTCTGCAGCTCCTTCCTGGAGCAGGCCCCAGCTGCATCAAGCAAAGGAGGCATCGAGATTCTGGAGGCTAAGTCCAGAGAGGGCCCCTGAGGCCCTAGAATGAGTGGGTGTCCAGACTAAGGGTGCCTAGGGCTCAGGGGACCTTACCATGCACGTCACAGGAGCTGTGCTGGCCCACGATGCCTGTGTCATTCTCCTTATCCGCGGGCCACTTGTAGATGAACATGGATGTGTGGGAAGAGCCAGCGTCCAGGACGATGCCATACTGGGAGTGGGGGTGAGGGTGGGGTCAGCTGGGGGTGGGGCCTGAGGCCACGCCCTTTGGCCCCCCAACTCTCTACCTGAACCCACCCCATGGCAGGGCTGGAACCTCCAGAATGAGGTGCTGGGGCTAGGGCAGCAGGGACAGCCACAGAGACACAGCTTGGCTCGGGAGGGAATGGGGCAGGCAGGGGTGGGCAGCCTGGAGCATCTCCTCTTCTGACTGCAGGAAGCTTCCTGGCGAGGGAAGCTCAGGAGCTCTGTCAGTGTCAGAGGAATCCTGGGACCACCCCTGGAACCCTACCCTGGGGACATGAGGTCCCCAGGTTCCAAAAGAGAAAGCCGGCTGCAGGAACTCCCTCCACTCTCTCTTCCTCTCCTCTGTCCCCGCCTCTCTGACCTCAGCCCAACCTCAGGATCTGGAAGCATGCCTGAAGACACCCCTCCCTGAGCCTCAAAGCCAGCCCTCGCGACAGCTGGGTCCTGCCCAGCTGAGAGGGCCTGCATGGGCCTTCCTTGCAACCCCAAGGGCCAGGATTCCTCCAGTGAGAACCCCGCTGGAGAACATGCCGTCTTGAGTCCAGAAAGGGGCCACTGCTGTCCTCTTCCCCAGCCTGGGAAGAGCAGCATGAGCACGCTAACCCTGATCAGACCACCCCAGCCCCACCTCGTCTTTGCCCTTGGCTCCAGAGCACCCCCTCCTGCGGGCTCCCATCCTGGGCCCCCCCAGGGCTTGGAGCACCCACTTGCCCACACCAGTCCCCGTTTGCACAAGTCCAGTAAAGAAAGGGTCAAGGGAGTCGAAGAGGCTCCTGGAGACTGGAGGCAGATCTGGCCTAGTCCACCCCAACTCCTTTAGGACCAGCCCAGCCTCCCCCGCTAGGCATCCAAGGGCTGCCCCGCACTGTCAGGGCCTCTGGGTAGGTGAGGAGGGGTCCTTAGGCCCCAGCACCTGTGGCTGAACCTGGACCAGATGCGTCCCCGGGGGCCACAGGGGGCTAGGGGCCAGGGGTCCCGCCGCAGCCTGCGGCGTCCAGGGCCCGCATCTGGCGGAGCGGAGGGACAGCTCCTGGGCTGCGCCCGCGACAGGCTCCCGGAGGTCGCGGCGAGCAGGGGAGTTTCCGGGACTCCGCCCCGCCAGGCCGCGAGCGCGGGTGGGCGGTGGGGGGTTGTCCCGGGCTGCCACGAGGGCGCAGCCGGCCGGGCTCGGCTCCGAGCCCCCCGCGGGGTCCGCTCGTCCGCAGACGGCGCCGGCTGCCCGCGCGCGCACCTTGAGGGCGGGCGGCTCCCGGACGTCGCGGCTGGGGACGCACAGCAGCAGGAGCCCGGCCAGCCCCGCCGCGGCCAGCAGAAGCGGCGGCAGCAGCGACAGCACCTTCCCGGCCATGGGCGGACGCGCGGGCGGATGAGGCGTCGTGCGAGGGGCGGCGGGGAGCGCGGGGCCGGGGCCCGGCGGGTAGGCGCCCGGGGCGGGGCGCGAACGGGCTGGGGCGGCGGCTGGCCACGCCCACGGGCCCAGGGGCCCGCCCCCCGCCCGCCCCGGCCCGCCGGCGCAGGTGGGAGAAGTTGCGGCTGAATCACCCGCTCAGCGCGTCCCTGCGCCCACCTTCCTCCCTCCCGGCCGCCGGGTCCCAGAGACTCGTCCCCTCCGCGGGTTCCCCCGGCCCTAGGGCTGGCTACCAGGGTCTGCCTGTGGGCCCCCGCGGAGTCCCCCGCCCCCACCCGCGCGGGACCGAGAGCGCTCCCAGCCCTCTCTGCGGGGAGTCTGTGGGCTCGAGGCCGAAGGCCTGGCACCGAAGGTGGGCTGGGCTGCTTCCCAGGCGGCCTTGTTCAGGGGGTCAGGCAGCTGGAGGGGCCAGCTCTTCCCTGGCCCAGTCCTGAAAGGAGCACACCCCCCGCCCCCGCAACAGGAAGTACATGGGTCCCCAACAGGGTCCCTGCCCGACCCTCAGAGCAGAGAAGGGCCTGGGTCGGTGGTGCTGACTCAGCCCGGAGCTGCGTGGCAGGTAGCCGGAATTGTGCGACCGTCGGGCCCTGTAGACAACACGCGGACCACAGCGCTGCAGGCCCTTCAAGGTGCCCTGGTGGGAGATGGGGGGAGCGGGCTCAAAGCTGAGCAGCCAAACAGCATGAAGCCAGCCCTGCCTCACCCAAGGTGATAGGTGAGGGCACAGATAGACAAAGGGGCAAGATGGTCACAGACACACCAAGATGAGAGAGGAAAAACCAGACCCTACCTCCTGGCTCAGGGTCTGGCCCATCCCTAATGCCCCCTATACCTAGGGAGGAGGGTGCCCAGAAGCCTGGGCTGGGGAGGCAGGAGGGGAGGGGAGCAGGAGGAGGGCCCTCTGCATGCAGGATGAGGAGATAAGGGAGATCTGGATCTGGTCGTCCACTCACAGGTCCCCGGCTGGCGGGGGGAAGGGGGGTTTTAGGGGGGCAAGTGATCAGCCAGCCCCGGACCTCAGCTCTGCCCTTAGTGAAATGTCTAGCCTCTAGGCTTCTACTCCCCACACACCCTGTGTGCCAGCCTGGCCAGGCATCACCCCTTTTCCTGGCCGGGGGCCACCCCCACGTCGCGCCCTGGGCAAAATAGGAATTCCAGCCATGAAACAGCAGGGAGCCATGTGGCAAGACCACTCTGGAGGGTGGGGCGGTTGGGGGGGCCAGAGGGTGGCCTTTGACAGAGGCAGGGTCTAGGCAGCCTCTCTCGGCTGGAGCCGGCTGGGACAGTTGGGCTGGGTTGCTGCCAGACTGAGGGTCTGGTGTCACAGGCCTAGTGAACAGCCTTTCTTTCAGCTCTGCACCCCAACAACAGACGGGGTGGGAGTCCCGGAGATGGCTCAGCCTCCTCACAGCCCCATCTGGCTGGGCTCCAGTGGAGACTCCGGGTGTGGCCTGCACAGGGCTCCAGGCCCTGTTCCTGCCAGCACCCCTCCCCCTTCTAGGCCTTTCTTCTGCGGGGAAGGCACAGAAGGGGGAGAGGCCTGCAGATTAGATTGAAAAGAAAAAAACAAAGGCGGCCCACAGGGAGACCGGGGCAAGCAAGGGCAGCCCGCAGGCCTGTCCCCCAAACGCTGGTCCCCAGCCCCCACACCTCATCCCACAAAGCCGAAGCCCGAGCAAGGCTCCCTGGTGTTCTGGTTGGTCCCACTGGCCATGAGACCCACCAACCATGAGAGGATGGGGCCAGGGTAGTGGAGGCCTGGACGCCACAGGGCTCATGGCAGAGGGCCCAGACTAGTCCCAGAAGAGAGGGCAGGCCGGGAGCGGGAACAGCCAGGACGAAGCCTGGGAGCGCATTCTCTCTGAGACAACCCTGGCGGGCCACATGCTTCCTTGGTGCAGAGACGCCCTTCCTTCCAGAGTGGAAGGAGGGCGGGGGGCCAGGAAGGGGGATTCTGCGTGGGAGGGGCCTCTGGGAACTGGGGGTGGGGGGAGAGCTCCAGATGTGCCACACGCGCCTGGGTCCCGGCAGAGGCATGCGGTTGCAGAGGAGCGGGGAGAGGGTCCTCAGAGGAGCCAGACCTCCCAGGCCGGGGACCTTCGCGGAGGCTGGCTGACATCTCGGCTCTGCCTGCCTCAGTCTTGGCATCTGTGGCAGAAGCATCTTTGCTGCTAAAGGCCCCTCGGTCCGTGAACCTGAAAAATCAGCCTATTTTCTAGCAAAAATGGGTTTATTTGGGAACAGCCAAGAATTGCAATTCCGCCTTTGCAAGCTGCAGCCAAAGGCAGGCCCGTCCCACGAAGAGAGGAAGGAACGCTATTTTATGGGGAAGGAAGGAGTGGGAGGGGTTGCTCTGAACCTAAGACCACCGGAGAGAAGCAAGCGCTCCGGGTGGTGAGAACCGGGGGTCGGTTTCTTGTGGGGGAGTCAGTGCATATCTTTCCCCGGTGGGGCGTGGGGCTGACGGTTCTCCCCGCCGTGGACGCCTCGCTGCCCCTTCAGCGTCCCCTTCTGGCGTCCAGAGTGCACTGTAGCGAGACTTCCCTTGGCTCCTGTCCACGACTGCCCGTTGCCTTCCGTCGTGGGCTCGTTCAGCCTTCAGCAAACACTCGCTGAGCCCTCCTGCGACCAGAGGCTGTATGCACGAGCCGTGACTACTGACAGGGGCACGGGGAGGCCCACCCACCGCCGGTCCCGAGGAGCACAGACTTGTCAAGGGCTCCCCGGGAGGGGAAAAGCCTGTGCTGCCCCGCCAGGGACAGCAGACTCACTGGAGAGCGGCGGGGCGCACGAGCCCTGTGGAAGGGAACAGGCGCAGGCACCCGGCTGTCGCCGCCGGGGGGTCCCAGCCAGAGCGGCCGCTGCCCTGGATTTTGTGTCTGCTCCTGTCTTCTCTCTAGGTCCCCACCTGTCTGTGCATTTCTAAGTGACGTGTCGTGTTGCTTTTCCTGGTCTTGGGACCCGACTGTGTGCGGGACGTTGGGTTCTGTAATGGGCTTTTGTCCCACGACTCCCGGGACTCACCCGTGGCGATGGCTCATTCCGGCGGCCGCAGTGTCCGCAGTGACTGTACTGAAGCCGCCACACCACACGCTCCCCGTGACTTCAGCCTGTGTCTGCTAAGTCTGCGGCCGCGGGTGGTGGCGCCGGCAGGTGAGGGTCGGAGGACGTCCTGGGAGCAGCCGGGGACCGCATGTCCATGTTCAGCTCTGAGCAGCTCCTCTCTTGTCTTCAGAACAAGGGTGCCGTCCGGTCCCGGGTCCGTTTCTCTGCATCCCCACGCACGCTGGGGACCGCGCCGCCTGGAGGTTTCTGGGATGCCGGGAAGATGAGGTCCGAGATCTTCACGGCGTTTTCCCGCTCCTGAAGAGACGGTGTGGCGCGTCCGTCCTGTCTTCTGCCAAGCGTCTGCTAAATTCTTAGCCCAGTTTCTAGAGGTTGTTTGTCTTTCTGTATGTGCCGCACGGCCATCCTCCAGCTGCGAGGTCCCAGAAGGTCTGAATTCGTCCGAATGGGTCGTTTTCCTCCCTGTGGTCTTGTGGGTGCCGCGGGCCGCGGGCCGTGGGATGCTCTAAGTCACGCTCTCCAGCTTTTCCTGTTTGCTCAAGGCCAGCCTTTGGCCCACCTGGGGGTGGTTTGTGTGTGGGATGCCAGGGAAGGGCTCCAGTCCGCATCCTCCGGCGCAGAGAACCAGCTGTCCCAGCCCTGGGGCCCACGGGTTGGCCTCTTGGGCCTGGTGTGTGGGGAGCGCTGGCCACCGAGCCGTGTGCCCTGGCCGAGGGCACGGGTCCTCCTCCAGCTCCGGCACCAGCACCGGCACCTGCCCCCAGCCCGGCAGTGCAGCTGTGTCTTCCCATCTAGGAGCACAGCCCCGTCCCCGCTGCCCGCTTCTGTTCCTGGCGCTCCGGGCTCTTCCACAGAAATTTTTAGAGCCCGTGTCGGGATCACAAGACCCATGACTTTGGGTCTACACTCCAGTTGTGGTGGGACCGTTCGTGAAGAGAAACCCCGCCAGAGCAGCGACCCGATGCCAGAAGGGGGACCCCCGGAGGAAGCGCGGTCACGGAGCCTGCAGAGCCCACGGGAGCCCACGGGAATCTCAGCGGGGGCCCACGGGGCGGGCCGCGCACTGCCTCTCCTCGAGAAAGCGGCCCCGGCAGCTCTCCGGCGGCCATCGCCCGGAACACCTGCTTTGCTCCAACGCACCGGCTTTGGGATCCCCTCGCACGCCCTCCTCCCCCTCCTAAAGCAGCGTCCCTCTCCTCTCGGCGGGACGTGCCTGTGGCTTGCCCGGCGGAGTAACCGAGGAGGCAGCTCTCGGCGTTGCTGGGGTGGCCCACGCCGCATTCCCCTTTCCTGCGAAGCAGCTCTCTGGCCGGGATTTCAAAGTCAGACCAGCAGCACAAACGTTTCCTCCAGAGAAGTGTCCGCAGCTTTTGGATTTCCTCTTCCTTGACTAATTGGCAGAACTTGCCTGAAGAACACTCGGCCCGGCGTCTTGCTACCGTTTCCGACTGTGATGGTGGGTTGCCAGTCTCTGTCGTCCTGGCACGTCGGGAGCGCTGGCACGGCTGCTCTATCTGTACGTGTTCCGGCACGAACGGGTTCATTCCCCGGACCAGTGCCCGCCAACGCAAGTGCTGGCTCGTGCTGTGTGTTAGAGCGCTCCAGACGGGCTCCCTGCGTCTCTGGCGAGCGAGACACGGATCTGGGGGAGCGGACTCATGCTCTGGTGGGAGCCGGCAAGTCTGCCGTCCCCAGGGCAGGTCAACAGCTTGGAGACTCGGTGGGGTGGGGCAGGGGTCCTGTTGCAGGCTTGAGTCCAAACGGCATCTGTGCTTAGAATTCCTTCCTCTTTGGGGGTGTTACCCTTGTCTCCTGAGACCTTACACTGATTGCGTGGGGCCCACCACATTCTGGAGGGTGATCTGCCTCCCTCCAAGTCTCGTGATGGGAATGGGAGTCCTACTGACGCGTCCCTTCACAGCGACACCCAA